AGCAATAGAGAAGAAAAAAAAAACTTCCTTGTTGTTGTATATTTAATGATGATAGACGAAAACAACAAACATGTGCATCGAACAAATATATCTTTGACAAATTAATTATCATAAAATTCAATTTTCAGCTTTGTTGAAGACCCACTCGTAAACTCTATTTGTCATTTAAATTGCTGTCATCATCGTCTATATATATACAATTATCCATACGTTGTACATCATTTATTTCTCCATTATTTTTTTTTTTTTTTTTGATAAATGAACAACAATAGAGACAACAGATATTTTATTATTCAGCTGACGTCTATAAATGTATAATAATCTATTTTGTTGGGTACTTTATTTTTTTTAATATTTTTTTACTCAAATAACATAATCAGTAGTCAACGCCGTTAGTCTTTGTATATTTATGATAGAGAGAGAGAATAGGATGCATTTGAGATCTAGATTGGAAGAAGAATATGACACATGTATTTAATAACCTGTCATTTATTTTGTTTGATTGCCGAGAAGAGTATTCAACATATATGACAGATTAAATTTTTACGTTATTATATAGTAATCTTTTAATGAAAATAAATGAGTTTTTCTTTTATTAAGTTTGTCAACCAAATCATTTTAATATTAATTTACTCTTGATATTGTTATATCAACAAGTTCTATAGTTAGACTTTTGTTTTTTATATATAGATTTTGGATTGTATAGTGTTAATAATGGGCAAAATATTAGCCATTGGACGATGATATATTAATAATATATATAAATTACCTAAAAACAAAAAAAGAGAGAGATTTGTGGTTACATTGCGGTTACTAAAAGATATTTTACTAATATATTTTTATGAAATCTTTTGTTAATATCACAACGTTTACATAAGTTATATGAATAAGTTGAGCTAAACGAAATGATATTAATATAAACTGCCATGTGATTGATGAGGTATAGTGTGATTTTCAAACGCGTTAATATAAAATGTTTTATTTTAACAACTTTGCTGAATTGTAAGATTATTAGAGTCCTATTCTCTCTTGTAATTAAGTGTATTAAACAATAGACCATTTAAACTTCATTTTTAAAATAATGAGGATTAAGAAATAGTTGTTAATGAGTGTTACTCATTTAAGGGTACTCCTCCTTTTCGATTTTAATTTGAATATAAACTAATATGGAGAAGAGTATGGGCTACAAGATAAGATCACTTTCAGCTTCCACGATGTTTTAGGAAAAAATTATTTTCAGTTTTGGTTCGAAAAACCGAAAAAACTCGACTTTTAGTTTCATAAATTTTTCTCTCCATTCCAGGTCTCTTCAAAATGTTTTTATTATCTATAGTCTAATAGAGTAAAGTGTTCTCTTCATAATGAGATGCTTTCCAAAATTTTTCAGTCTTTTTTCGTGGATATATAAGTATTACTGCAAATGTCCTATAAAAATTGTCCTATCTGATGTTATTTGTAATGCTCAAACATTGATAGTTCCACTCAATGAACATTACGACCCCATTAAAACTTCATCCGATCGTGTCCAAATATTTACCATAGGTAGGCACTTGGAGTGATATCTCAGAACGGTAATTTTTCTTTTTCGTTTTTGACTATTTCTTTTCGAGTTATGACCTCGAATCTAAGGCGTTTACCTTTTCTTTTTCATATCTCGAGAAGGAAAGCTCAAAAACGAAAAAGGAAAACTAAACCGGTCTGAGATATTACTCCAAGTACCTATATATGATAAAATTTTGGACCCGATCATATGACGTTTTCGGGGGGGGTCGAATACACTCCAATAGCAACCGGTTTTGCCAAAAAATCTATAGAAAGTCATGTCAGAAAATTCAGAGAAAAAAATATATTTCTTTCTATCTCTTCTATGAATTTGAACTCAATCGGACTTTCGTTTACATATTCAAGCTTACATTTTTCTGGTTGTTGTGTGACCATTTGTTTAACAGCCATAGATAAATCACAATTAGCTTTATTTCAATTTGACATGGATGAACTGTCAGTATTACATGTTTAAGACTATTTTATTCAAAACTTAAAAAACTGTCTACTCTATATTGAGAATGAGTAGACACAAATGAAATATATTCATTGCATATGAGAATTAAGCAAAAATGTAATCTGACAGACTTAGATCGACAAACCAAGTAGGTGAAGCATTGTTACTAAGTTTTTATCTATATCGGAGTACTTTGGACTATTTTATCTGTTAGTGGTAAAAGTGTTGTCATTCGACGTAGAAATGATGGTTATGCTTCGAATTCATAAATCATAGCAATTTCAGTCCACACATTAGATATTTGTCCGTAAGTAGAGGAGAGGCATGACTAGACTGCATTGCCCAGTAAAATGTTCATCGTCCTTCGATCAGAAGACATTCATATTTTACTCAAAAAAAATCGAAACAATTATATGTCATGAAGCATCCAATCAAAGAAACTTTGATTATCAGCATTCAGTGAGACCTTTGGAATCATGGGCTATTATGGTTTTGAAACCTATGAGTTGAGATGGTTTTGTTGAGTATTGTAATACTTTGAATGTTTTCAATTGATGTAGAATTGCTCTTGAAACTTATTTTTCTGGAAGCTCCTTTTTATTACTCGGGGCATTTCTATTTTTTATTCATTACTTAATCATTAACGTGTTAACCGTCATTAATAAGATTAAAACAGCAAAACCGACATCACTCAGTCTCAATTAATTGGATGTCAAAGAGCAAACTAAAACTCTTGATTTAGAATTAAAATATAACGGCATGCAATCTCACGTTTATAATGAACTAGTTCTTAAACAATCTATTGTATCAATTTGTTACTTTTAATTAATTTTTTATTTTGTTAAAGTACTAGATTTGTGGACACGATAAAACTGAACACATTTCCATAGTCGATTTTCTTCTCTTAGTGAACGACTAATTTGCTTTTTGATCAAAACAGATTCTACACTTTAATTTTTTGCTCTATAATAGAGAACGTAATTGTATTTACACAAATATCATTAATTTCCCACAATTAGAGCATGTTAACTACTACCCATTTTAAAATAGAAGGTATTCAGCTACATTTCGAATAGTTGAGGAGCACTTTGCAGTGAGACTATCGACCAATGAAAAAATCATTATCAAACTATGCTGTGGCAGACAAAATCCTAGAAATTACGATTTTCTCATATTTTTCTGAAAACCAACATTGTCATGAGATTCAGAATGATTGCTAGGCTGGGTTTCCCTGTATTTATGAGATTCTAAAACCTTGTGTGATCTGTGGAGTCTCACATAATCCTTAAAAATCTTTCCCACGTCGGAATTAAAAAGGCTAAACTGTATAGAGCAAATGTCACTTTATCTAACTTTGAAATGACCATAAAAAAATTTGATGAAACTTTTTGAAACCGCAGTCTCTAAGATTTTATCGGCTTTGCTGTAGTTTGAGTTTAATTTTTTCATTGATCGGTAGCCTGACACTGCAAAGTGTTCTTGAGTTATTCGAAAACAACTGAATATCTTCCATTTTAAAATAGACAGTAATAATACTTGTACTTTTGTAGATTTTAATAATATCATTAAAGTACAAATTTTTTATACAAAGTTAAACATGTTGACGGTTAATATCTCTTTAATATTCATCGTTTATGCATTCTACTGGTTGATTTATTTCTAACCTACATTTCCACCTGATAATAATCCATTCAGTACCGAATTTTGTACCCTATTTGAATATTTTGCAACGATGGATAGTAGCCAATTGATTTATGTCGTGACAACACTAAATCAAACAATCAGTTTTAGAATGAACTGTATAACAAAATCTTTTCAATCTGATGCAACTTATAGATAGTATTTTTCTCTTTTTACTATACGAATATTCTAAATGATAATACTCTTTGCAGGATATTTCTTCAAACTTCGTCATTGTTCTCGATATGTATTCGAATTGCACAAAATTTGTTTTTATGTTTGGATACATAGGTAATTATTTTATTAAGTAGTAATAGCATCATATTCTCGTGAGAGAATTTTTCTGTCGTGTTCTGCTATTGTCATGACTAATCATAGTATTTTATCACTTATAGACGAGAATCTTCGTACTGTTTTAAAAGCAACAACCAGCGTCATCAAAAGGTTAGGTAAAGTTATTAAAAAATATTGTATAGACTGACTATACGTTTGTTATCTTTCACGGCGAGTGGCAAGATATTTATTTTCTCTTAAGATTTAATCCATCACTCAATGCTGTATCAGAAATATATGTTCTGCTCTCAACATTACCAAGTATTAGTTTACTACTCGATATATTCATTCTGTTTTATTTTGATCATATTCCACAGATCAAAAGACTGACAGATGACTACAGGCACTCGATGAAAGAGCCCATGAGGGATGGTTTCGGAATCACCGTAGTCAGCAGTACCCATTATATTATAATACCTGTCCATTAGAACCTTGATATTTACGTCGGACACACTTAATATGAGCGAAAATATATAGTGGTGATTGCATGTTGTTGCTAGATGTTGTAATGGAATGATGGTGATGATATTCTAATAGTGGTACTAGAAAAAGTATAAATTTGATAAGAGCTTTGTCGTTTGCAGATGAACGTGGTAGTTGTGCTTGAGTTTCACTAGTTTGCGTTTTGCATGGCTGTTTTTTATGAATCGGAACCAGCGTGTATTAATTCATTAATTCTACATATATTTTTAATTGCTCATATGTTTAGTTTGCGTTTTCTGACATTTTTTATTATCTATTTTTATCTCGCGATCAGAAAAAAATGTCGTGTTCTCATAAAGATTTTTATTCAACGTTATTATCTTTCGTTTATTTTAGTTCGTAACAGTATGATATGGCTAATTTACATCTTCAGTCGGTGATAGTTGTGTATCACGAGATCTAATGTGATCGGATGCTGTACTTAAACTTCTATAGTTTTAGTGAACATTTCACGTATGGATATGACACATTATGGATATTTTCTATTCAAAAGCTTAAACGTGACATGTTTGTTGGCATATTGTCCGCAGAAGTGAATAGTTCTTTATTCCACGAGAATGTCGATGATGATGATGTTCAGTCTCTTGAACCTCTATCAAAACCGTCAGAGGAATTTGAAGAACCAAGTAGTGTGTGTCTTATACACCCTTAAAAAAGAACTCACGGCAGTGCGAACGAATGAGCGCCTACAGCTCATTTGAATCCCAATGTCATATTTTTTGTATCAATCACCACGATAACAAGTCGTGCAACACAATCATTATCAAACCGAAGATAATAAAAGAAAGTGAACCAATAAATTCGGTCGACTCGATTCCGTCCGTTAAATCAGACATGGGTTTTAATTCGCTATATGACAAACATGTTTTCTTCATTTATCCTGTTCAAGTTTTACACTACAAGGTGTTATCGAAAAAAGCCACTGTTATTTTTCTGTTAGTGAATTAAGCTTCATATTCAATCATATTGATTATTAAGTCTTGCGGCGTATATTGCAACTAGCAAGGAAGCTACTTGGGAAAAATATGTTAATGCACAACTCTTTGATCGGGGAACTCTTTGATCGACGATTGTGTTTCGATCCACAAGGAATCATGATATGGTCAACATCATCCATTATTGATAAATTTTCTTTTTTTCTCAATAATAATAAAAGATTTGACAAATTATTCGTCTCACTTCAGCAGAAAGCTTTTTGAACTCGCACTGAGAATCTCAGGAGTCAGGGTTGCCATGTCTTCTTTAGTTGCAATTTGCAAGAGAACAGTTATGTTGCATGCAGACAGTTTATGCTTAAAACTGCATTAGAATGCTTAAGAGAGGCCATAAGATTACCAACCAAGACCTAGTCCGACGAAAATTTATTTTTGCTCAACGATATCTAATTTTGAAGACCTATCTATACTGACTAGGAATCCAAAAGATTTCGCTTACCGAATGCGTCTATCAGGTTTTCCGAGGGTAACATGCATGATAAATCAGCCCACGAGCCTATTTTTCGATGAATTTAGTATTTTTAATTTTTCTAAAGAACTGCACAATCCCTAAAAGTGGTTCACAAACATTTAGATAGAGCTTTAAATTCGCTACAAACTGCGCTAGAATTGCACGGTGAACAAACCAACTTTAGTTGCTCAAAATTGAAAAATAAGAGAAAACGTTGCTCTAGATAAAATCACTTCTTTTTGGATTTTGGGTACCCTTTTGTACTCTCGTTTAACTTTAACCCAAAAAGTTTTTTTGTCATTTGATAGCGCAACTCTTTACTCATACAAAAGTTCTTTGAGTCATTACAGATGTAGAGCAAACATTTTCCTACAAAATGAAATGTCAGTGAGCTCTTATGATGTTTTTTTATGATTTTACAAGCGTTTTACGACAACCACTGTATTTGAGACTGATCCCCTACTGGTTTTTATCTCAGTTTGATAGATTGACCAAATGCAATAGTTTACATATGATTGAATAGAGCATCGAAAGTTACATCTAGTGGCAAATAATTTTATCTTCATCAGTTTGTATTAGTACAGAAAAACAACTTTTAATTTTGTGAAAATGGCTAGAGAATGGGTATTATGCGGGGAAAAAACCATTTCTCTCCTACTTTTCACAAATGAACCTTTTTAGTTTTGTGCTTATAAACTGCACATGACTTAAAGCTAGCTACTCATGTCAAAACTTAATAAAAATTCTTTTCTTCTGACCGTCTAAAATAGATTCTTTAAAAAGAAAGTCAGACACGCTCATGAAAGGTATCCTTAGCGGATTTAATATAAGATCTGCAGACGGTTAGGAGAAAAGAATTTTTATCAAGTTTTGACATGAGTAATTAGTATTGAGTCATGTGCAGTTTTTAAGGACAAAACTAAAAAGGTTCATTTGCGAAAAGTAGGAGAGAAATGGTTTTTTCCCCGCATAATACCCATTCTCTAGCCATTTTCACAAAATTAAAAGTTGTTTTTCTGTACTAATACGAACTGATGAAGATAAAAAAATATGTCGCTAGATGTAACTGTCGATGCTCTATTATCTAATTTTTGTTAATTTTCTACACTATTGGTAACATGCTAAATATTGTATAGCAAATATGGATTACCAAGAAAACTTCCGTATGGCATTACGTACAAAATTTCTTTAACTGTCGCGTACAATGTTCTATCCTTCAAGGTGACTATATACCTATTGTACGTATATGAAAAGAAAAGAAAAGGTTTCATTTTGGTAATTGAGTTCTGTTCCAAGGAAAGAGAAAAAGAAAGTGTGTTTACATATATAAAAGAGCAAAAAGAAATATTTTCATGTGTACAAGAATACAGTTAGATAGAACTGAATGTAAGCTTAGTCTATAGTATCACCTGAGATTGGACGTTTCCACGATAAAGAAGTACTGTGGACGAGTTGTTGTACCAAAATTGTCTTGTACGACAAACCATTAATAGGAAATACATGTTAAAAATCATTTAATGGAAGGCAACTTGTAATTCATAGCCAACAAAAAGTGTCACTACCATGGAGTTATTTGAAGATCCTCGAGAAGATCCATTAGCAACATTTCTTATGCAAGTATTCATTACACTGGTATTAAGTAGAATATTAGCCAAAATTCTATCTTTTATTCGTCAACCACAAGTTATTGGACAAATACTCACTGGTATTATATTGGGCCCAAGTGTTTTTGGATATATACCAGGTTTTAATCGATCTATATTTCCAGAACATAGTGTAGTTACATTTCAAATGGTGGCTAATTTAGGTTTGTTATTTTTTATGTTCTTTTTGGGATTAAAACTAGATCCACAAGAAATAAAAGAAGGATGGCGCCGAACATTACCAGTTGCATGTGCAAGTATCATTGTACCAGTAGGAATTGGTTGCGCAGCAAGTTTATGGTTATATGAAATGAATGGACCAACAGTGAAAGCGTCATTCATATTGTTTATTGGTGAGCTTCAGAGCTAAAAGATTAAATAAAATAACTGTTTACACAACTTTAGGCAGTGGCATTGGATTTAGTGCATTTCCAGTGTTGGCATCATTATTACAAGCAAATAATATGATCACATTACCAATAGGTACTAATGCTAATTTAGCTTCTATGCTCCGTTAAATCTTTTTCTTTATTGATAGGTATATTAACAATTAGTGTTGCTGCCATCGAAGATATTGTTGTATGGGTTGTATTAGCAATTGCCAGTGCTTTTTCTGATGGTGGAAGTATGTTACAAGGTCTTTATACGTTACTATTAACATTGGGTTATGTTTTAATAATGATATTTAGCGTCAAACCATTATTAGGTTTATTACATAAGTTTTATGTCAAAAAGAATGATGAATTTAATATTTATTTAGTTGTTGTTTGTCTAATGTTGTTAATCGTCTCAGCTTTTACAACGCAAGTGATTAATATTCATGCCTTCTTTGGATCGTTTATTTGTGGTCTAATCATTCCTCGAAGTGGAACATTACATGAATTTTTAGCATTGAGAATAGAATTATTCATTGTTGAATTCTTTCTTCCACTTTATTTTGCAAATAGTGGTAGAAAAACTGAGCTATATCTCTTAAACACAATATCAGCATGGTATACACTACTTGTATTAGTCATATTAGCATCGTTAGCTAAAATAATTCCTGTTTCATTAATGACAAAATTAGTATCAAAACAATCGTGGTCTTATAGTGTTTCTGTTGGTATTTTAATGAATACTCGAGGCATTGTTCAACTAGTCGTATTGAACATTGGTGTTGAATTAAAAGTTTTATCGTCAAAAATATTTGCCATATTCGTATTAGCAGCTACAATAATGACGTTTATGACATCTCCGTTAATATATTTAATTTATTTACGTAAAAGAAATGATCATTCGCTTGAAAAAGAATTGATTAAATCATCTAAAAAGTCTAACAAAAATACTAGTAATTATTGTTTTTGTTGCATTAAACAGAATATTATCGAAAAATCAGATAACTTTACTTCATCTTATCATTCTCATAGTTCTAACAAATATCCAACAGTACAAGAACAAGAAAGAAAACCTCTATATAATACCAGTTTTTCGGAACAATATCCAATACGTCATAATTTAGAACAAGAAAAAAATCAAGTGGTTAGAAATAATATTCAGCATGTAAATAATCGTGTCATCAGTTATAAAAATCTACCATATAATCACAGGCGTTTGCTTCACACACACAATAATCAAAATTTACACTTAAATTTTCCAAAAAGACAACTTTGGCCTAAACAGACAAACAGTATAAATAACAAATCATTATCATCAGATTATTCCATCAGTTTTTCGACGATACAATCCTGATATGATTTATTCAATCGAACTAACAGATGGCGCAAAACTAATAATACACTTTTGTTCTCTTTTTTTCGAGCACTTAACATTCGATAGAGAACGCAGTTGTGCTTCTTATCTGTTCTTACTCTACACTATCCTTTTAGATAATGAAATAATATATAATGAAAGAAGGTAATGGATTTTGTAGAGCAGAAAATTCTCTATCGAATGAGTCTAGAATAGAATCTTAGAAGCTTAGTTAAGTGCTTGAAAAAAAGAGAAACAAAAATGTGTTATCATTTCTGCACCATCCGTTATTATAATGTTTCTATTAGCATCATTTTATTCATCAATCTTAGCCTATGCCGTTATGTTGACTGTATATTACACTGACATAGTTCTCAAACTATTGCAATCTTTTCTCTTAGTTATATGAGTTTTGGTGCGTCATAGATAACCGGTGTCTGTTCTTATTCTAGTATGTACTGATGCGGTACAGCGTCTGTTTACATACATACGGTCTGCATCTCAGTGCGCGCTATTAACCGGTCATTAAAAGTGACTATTACCATTGAATTTATTCTCTTTCATGCTATTTCTCCATTATACAGACACACATATTTTCTTTTCTCTTTCGTTTTTCATTTTTCTTCTTTTTCAAAGGTGAACGTCTAATCGTACTTTTATACTGTTTATTACAAATTTTTTTCTTTTTTGTTTTCACTTTAAAACGTTTTAAAGCAACAATTGTTTGCATGTTTAGTCATGTATTATATTGTATAAAGAAAAATTATATACGAACAGATTTTTTTGTTTAAGTGAATTAAATTGTTCACATTAATTTTACGCAATGGAAATTAAAAATAGAAAAGATCAATATGAAACACAAGTGTCACCTCAACCTAAGTAAAAATCTTCGACACTTTTTAAAATTGTCTTACCGTTTAAGATTTTAATAAGATTTAATGACTATTTTATTTACCCTGTTGTTTTGCTCTCTCTCATTCATCTATATAGGTAACAACGAAAACATGAATGATTTTATGGGTATTTTTCTTCCAGACTCTACTAGTACTTGTGAGTCATTAGGAATAAAGCCCGACTGATTTTTACTTATCAAGTTATTTGTTCTTAGAAGCCCAAAAATGTGTCTGTAAATAACATGTTCAAGGACTTTGGATATGGCAGGAAGAAGAGTAATTGACCGATAATTGTTGCAGCTTTGCGAATTACCGCTTTTGAAGAGAGCATGGATATACCCTAATTACCAAATAGACGGGAATTCCCTCTGGCTCAAAGACTCGTTAAATAAAATAGTGACAACAGAACCGATTGTTCCAGCTGATTTTCTCAACATTCGATTTGAAATACGGGGGGCGGTGGCTTTATTAACAGTCAGGTGTAACAAAATCTCGTATACTTCAGTCACATTTATCCGGAAGTCCGACATAACAATTGTTGATTGCGTAAGGGAATTAATAGGAGAGATAAATGAGACATCAGCTGTACATGTATTGGAGAAATGTCTGTTTAATACTTGCGCTCGATCAAATGGTGAAGTTACGACTTTATTAGATGACGGGTCAAATAAAGGCGGAATACTCGATTGTTTTGTTTTGCCTAAGGAGAATTTTAAAGGGACCGCCATGCTTTCGATGAATTTTTTGTTGAAGCCAGTCGTTCATAGTATTTCTCTTTGGCTTGCGTACATCCTTTTTCCAATCGATCAACGTATTTCTCATAAGTACTCTTATCTTCATCAGACTTAGTGTGCAGATAACGCTTATAGGATGTCTGTTTCATACTATGAAGATGACGAAGCTTGTCTGTGAATCAGAGTTGATCACGCGACGATACGGTAATCCATTTGCTTTTTAGACAAGAATTAGCAACTTCGAAGAATTTATTTTGAAACGCCTCAGTTTTATCTGTATATGTTATCTGATAATCGATAATAGAGTGCCAGTTCGTTTTTGAAAGTGCTAGTCGAAAGCCATCCCAGTTACTATGCTTATAGTTGTATATGCGACGTTTATAAGAAAAAGGCGTTTGTTTTATTCGAAGAAGTGAAAATTCGACCATACAGTGATTGCAGGTAGTAGTTAAAGGAGACAAAACGTTGACGTTAGTAACTGAGCTGAGATTATTGGTAAATATCAGATCTAGACATGAATTAGACCTGGGTCTGGTGGGTTTTGATACTAACTGGGAGAATCCCTTCTTTATGGAAAAGCCAAACAACTGGTTGCCCTCAGATATTGACGGTTTCGTTGGGCACCATTTAGCTGAGTGGCCATTAAAATCACCGATTAATATAACAAAATCATCCTTTATACCTGTGTTCATTCTAATTTTTTGCAGGGTGTTACTTAGATGTTCCACAAAATTTTCTGCCAGAGTAACTTCTGATAGTGAGAGTTTTCAAATTTATTCTTTCTTCGAAAACCTTATCAATTCTGACAGTTTTGGAAGCACAGGATTGTGGTGACTGCTGGGTTATTTTCATCTTCTAACTTGCATGTACCGTTCTGCTTAACATACTGTCCAAATACAGGTTTTGAGAGTTTTTTTAGAGAAAACGTCATTTCTCCATTGAACACATGTTTCTATCTAATTACGAAAGACAAAACTGCCAAAAGTAAAAGCTGTTAGTCAAATAGGATTCGCTTTAATTTATACAAGTGTACAAAATAGTTCCACTCCCGCCAATGTGTTTATTATCACTAAAATTTAAATTTATTAATCAATGTAAGTAAAAATAACTGAAGTTGGCGGTATTTTTCGTTGTTTGTTATTGTAACTACGAATAGCACGAGTATTGCAATATCTAATTATTATGTCGATAGACATTATGCATGGAATTTTATTTTTTTTTTACGACCTTTTTTGGGAAAAGAGAGCGCCATGATCCAACAAACTATTTATTGTAGAAAAGTTTTGAAAAAAGATCAGCGTTCTACAAAAACTGAAAATTAACCATTGCACATTCTTTACTCAATTAAAGATCCAAACTCGGCGGTATAAGCTCCATAAGTGGGCAAAAAAATGGCTGTTGGACTTAATTATTATTGTCCGACGACACTTTATTCAAACATTATTATTATCTAGAAGAATAAACAAAGTTTTTTGCAAAGTTAGAGCTCATTTCTTCTAGCGCTAAGAAAGTCGACTTTTAATTTCCACTTCATATGTGGTTTATCTTTTAACCTGACAATGATATCTGATATATTGATTCATTTTTGTACAACTTTTATTTAAAAGATAAAACTTGAGAACATAACATTATATGATATCATTTTATCCCATGACTATTGAAAAGGAGTAAACGATATGAAACAATTGTTTATTGGGAATAATATTATAGATTGGTCACGTAATTTCAATAAAGCTTCAATTTCATGGTAAATATACATACAAACATCATACGGTAAAATGAATCCAACCCATATTGGTCTAAATGGAAAAGCTTTTGATTTTCTAGTTTTAATAGCAGAATAGCCGTTCGTGAAACATTCAAATACGTCTGCAAGTGTCATGAAATACAATGGCATTAGCTATTTATTTATGTGGGATAGCATCTTTCTTTCCGAACGACTGCCCTAGTAAGAAATTTAGTCGAATCTTATGAAGATCGTAGTAAGGTTATGCTTACATTTGTCTAAGATCTTAGATAAATCTTAAGGCGCCGCTAATTCAAAAATCAAATTGGAAAGCTTTTAAATTTTCAAACATATATTCTGATTCCTCGGACGCTGCTGATCACGAATCTGACCTTATTTTTTCGATTTGACGAAGTTTTCATGCAGAAAACCTCAAAATACTGTGAAGGCGTCAAAAACCTCGAAAAATCCCGATTATTTCCTGATCTTTTCATTTTTCGATCTCACCGATGCCATTTTCGGATTCAGCGTCGCGAAGCACATCTGGACACTTGTCATTGAATGAGATTTCTTCACGACTTAAACTCTTGTAGCTGATCAAACACTGATCGCTCGAACCTTGAGGTTCTCACCGCGCAATGCCTCGCGAAGGTAATGGAATTCCGAAGGGTTCTGAGAGATTTCCAGAGAGTCGGTTTTGCAGTAAACCTTGTCATTACTCTACGACCCTTCATGAGGCATCGCATCTGAATGCGCTTCGAGTTCTGAGCAAAATGAGACCTTCCCGGGCTTTTCAGCGTTTGTACGCTGAGTTATTGGCAAATTTCTTAAAGGATTTCGAGTCATCCGGATCTCTGAAAGTAAAATGGCCTTATCTCAGCCTAGAGATGTGCTAGGAGGCTCGATGAGGACACCTCATTTTGCTCAGAATTTGACGCTCTGTCGATACCATGTACTTGGGACGAAAAAGATTTCCAAAAGGCTCTTGAAGGTTTCTCAGAGTTCTGGTTTTTTGCAAAACCTCTCAGACACATTGCTAACGTATTCAACATTGCTTTTTACCTAGAAAATCATAATAGCAGTTCTCTAGGTGGAAATACCACTGAGTTATGGGCTCATCATCTGAAGGATTTTTCGAAAACTCGCACTTTTTCAGTCTTTTCTTAATTTCTCCTAAAAGCAAAGATGTTTTGAAAAACACGAAGCACACTTTTGTGGAGCAAGGCAAGGCGAATCTTCTGGCGTATGAACGAAGTCTCTATGGCTCTCATGGCAAAAAAGTAGATAGCATTGCGCGGTGAGAACCTCAAGGTTCGAGCGATCAGTGTTTGATCAGCTACAAGAGTTTAAGTCGTGAAGAAATCTCATTCAATGACAAGTGTCCAGATGTGCTTCGCGACGCTGAATCCGAAAATGGCATCGGTGAGATCGAAAAATGAAAAGATCAGGAAATAATCGGGATTTTTCGAGGTTTTTGACGCCTTCACAGTATTTTGAGGTTTTCTGCATGAAAACTTCGTCAAATCGAAAAAATTTTTAAAAAAATCCTTACTCTAACAAACTGAAATCAAAAATTTTAACGTTATATATAGAGAAAATATGATAAATCGAAAACGTACTAAAATCGCAGGAAAATAATCGATTATTTTTTAGCAAGCTTGCTCAGTTTTGGGCACTTATATTTCTGTCACAGATAATACTAAAAAAAAATTGTTTAGTTCAGTTTGGTAGAATAAACATTTTTCTACAAAATCAGACATTTAACAGCTCCGAGTGATTTTTTATAACTGATTCGAAACGACTTTGCTAAATGCCCTAGCATCGATTATTAATCGGTGCGTGCCTGAAATGGTTGTACTTCTCTATACCCTTTTAGGTTTCGTAATAAACTTATTTTTTTTAGAGAGTAGGCTACTTTGTCTAAGACTTTTTTATGATCCGATGAGAATCTGTATGATCTTACTGAGAATTATTATGAGATTTATTCATAATTTACTACGTATTTTTGAATACCTTATACAAGTGCTGAGCAGCCTTGAAGAAAATTATAGACCAATCACTAAAATTCAGTTGAATTTTGGCGTTATTTATATAGATAACCTATATAGATGAATGAACGGGAGCAAGTACTGGTAGAGTCTGGAAGAAAAATATCCATATACGCCTGAGCCATCAGACCGCTTTAACTGTCTCTGGTGCTTTGAGGGGCACATCACACGTGAAACTTCTTAGAGACTTAGGGTGGTTATCAATTAATGAGCTTATTTATGTTAGACGCATGTGTTTGTTTCATAAAATCATGCATAGTAAAACTGCTACTTATCTTACTCAACTTTTTCCTATGCCGGGACCCCAGGTTCACCAAACTCGAAGTTTCAGTCGAGGAGACATCTCCTTGGATTTAAGACGTCGGACACTGTTGGAGAAATCCTTTATTCGAGAGGGTATTCGTGCATGGAATCTTCTACCTAATGATATACGTTCAATACGTAAATTAACTGATTTCAAACTCAGATTAGCCTTGCAATATATTCCGTCCTGTCGTTTACCGTTAATGCGTGATCGGCGGTTGGAGATACATCATACGCGATGTAGAGTTGGTAATCCCCAACTAAATGACTATGTCTTTACTAGAGGTGGATAAGAAAAGTTACCGGCGTGTGCATCTAGCTTTAACAGAGAGACTACTAAACATTTTTGTCATAGACTGTGCTCTTTATGATAAGTCTCGTAACTTTATGTTTGAGCAACTGCGTATTTTCCTTAAAGATAATCACATTTTTTTTTTATAACAATAGCATTAGAGAAGTTGCTTCAATACTTTAAAAACCAGAGATTTTCGACAAAAGTTAAGGAGGTTGAAGAAAATACTTATATACAAACATACATAACAGTGAAGGAGAATTTTTGTGGTACCCGTATTGCGGAGCGTGGTTTGATATAAAATTATTAAAAATAAAATTTATTATATCAATTTTAGAATGTTTCGCATGTAGAGAGAGACGTTTTAAAAATCTGTTGGTTTTGCGCAAACCTGATAAGCGATACCAGTTCTTCTCTGAATTTTTTGCAGCTAAATAAGCAACCCATGTCAACTGATACTGGGCAGCTTCATGTGATGTTTCAAGGTGTTTCATAAATCTTAGCCAGAAACCGACAAGATAATCGCGTAATGTAAACTCCTGACATAGTATTTTTACAGTCATATCGTCCCAGTTATTCAAGTCAAAAACAATCCTAATACCTGAACAATAAACATGTTCAATGTATTCCTTTTGAGTATCCGTAAAGAAAAACCAAATCGAAAAAAACCAGATAAAATGGGGAAGAACAAAAGCATAAAACAATATGCGACAAATATGTAGAATTATGATGGGAATGTCTCTAAATAGGATTTTGAGAGCATTATATATATTTCGTATGATTTTTATTCTTATTGATATGTAAAGTCCTCAACCTAACTTGATCGTTATTTCTACTCCAAGATACCTGTATCTCTTAACAAAATTAATGATAACTTCTCGATATTTAACTATAGGATATGTTGGCGCAACGACATTGTGTACAAGTAGTGCTTTCGTTTTATCTATATTGACGGGAAGAATTTTTTCATTTGAGAATTTGGATAAGGATTCCATTGCTATTCTCGCTTGTTCCTGTGATTTAATTATATTTTGTGAGAAGCGTTTCTCTAACACTCCAAATAGGACTATCGCAAGATCATCAGCGAATAAATGAATCAAGGTACCCATAAAATATTTAGGTAAAAAATGAATATGTAATCTAAAAAGTGTAGCGGCCAGGACTAAACCTTGCGGTGCGCCGACAAAGATTTTTACAGTTCGAGAAATTGCCTCAGCAAAATGAATCGACATCGTTCTACCTCGTAACCATTGGTGAATCCATCGCAGAAGAGGAAGGGGGAAATTAAGTTCATTTAATGTTCTTACTAGAGCAGGATGCCACATTTTATCGAATGCTGACAAAAAATCCACAAAAAATTACTAGCGCTGGTCTATTACATGCAGACAGTGTTAGGCGTAAATCCTCAATTAATGACAAAATACGTGTTTGAAGTCTTCTTTCAGGGGTAAAGCCTGATTGTTCGTCTAAGTAAACTCCGTTTGCTTTACACCATTCTAAAAGTCTATTATGTATG